GGAAAGACGAGCTCACATGGCCTGCTCACATACTCACATGTTCGCCATGTGTCTTATCACACGTCTTAGCATTAAACGGTACCAGTTTACTGGCCGTAACATGCCCCTGCAAAAATCAAGCAGGGTGGCCATTTTGGTGTCCTTACAGGAATGTGGTTTTTTCGGCCTATAACTGTGCACAGGGAAACCAACTCTGGAAAGCCACAGGTCAAAATTAGGTTTGCGTTCCACTTCGTCGAATGCAATTATCACTCTGCTCCATTCAAAAGAAGTTGATACAATTACTGCATGTAGTAACTGGACTTCATGCGGTACAATTGAGAAGGTAATCATGCTGAGCCACATCAAGTTACAGGTACTTGTACGATTACCTCCTGAATTCCCCACTTAGTGCAAATATTACTATTACTTGTGCTAAACAAACCTCTAGTTCGACTTTGGATTCAGGAAGTCTCTCTCCATCAGCACAGTCGATGATGAAAACTATTCCATTAACTGCAGGAAAGTAGTCTTTCCAAATGCGACGAGCTATGGAACAGAGCACTACCATCAGAACATCTCCAGTTGTACCTCAGAGCAAAGTACACGTATGCTAAAATTGTCTTTAGCTCAGTTACATGTACATGCATAACTATTTAACCCATTGATGCCTGAATGAAATTGCACGCAACCCACCCCTAAATTTCTGGCGATTTTTGAACATTTTAGGACAAGCACAAGCGCTAAAAATAAACCATATGCGCAGTAACCACACACAAAAGATTAGGTTTTAAGACATTGTTCATTCTAAGTTGAATAAATGAAGGGCCAAAATATTAATAAAATGTCACCAAAAAGAACTCAACTTGATGTTTAAAACTGATGAGAAAACAAGAAATTATATTATTTCTTTGCCCCCCAACAAAATGTCTAACAGAAGCCGAGAAAATTGAATAATGCAAAAATGAGTCATTATAGACTTCAGAGGACAGATTGAAACCAGATACAACAGAATTTCCATTCTTGTACTATAATGGCTCGCATTTGACAAAACAATGGAAAATAAATGCGAAAGGCACATTTAAAAACCAATTTCAAACAAGAAATCAAATAATTTATTTACTGTGCGACGAAATATTACAGTGCTACGAAAGAAAGATGAAAGTTGTAAGTCAAAAAGGCAACAAAAACAAGCTAATTATTTCGAGATCTATCATATTGCAAATGTGCTAAATTAGTGGCCAATTAGTTCTTTTCTCAGCAGTTCTGTAGTAGCTGAATAACACTCCAAAAAATACATTTGAACAAAGCGAATTAACTAATCAAACAAACCATGGCGGTCGGCGTAAATTAAATATGCAGAAATCCAGAGTGTGAAAATACTGTTCACTTTTGAAACCTAAAATTCCCCAAAACAGGGCACCAAATAAAAGAAATATGAAAGGAAGTTCAATAACAATAAATTTCCATTCAAGCTGAAGCAAAGAAACCTATTTAAAAGCAAAAAATAATTATGTTCAAAATTTCACAGACGTGCTTCGCTGCATGATCGCATGTTCAAATCAATTCTTCACACTAAAGCGAAAGCTCTGAGTTTCTCCTGACCACTTTTGCAGTCATTTTATCGGCCATGGCATTACCAATTGTTCCAAAAGTTGAATTCAACTTTGAAGCAATAATGTACATTACCATTTTTGTTTTCAAAAGTCCAAGAAGCTGCTTTAAGTCCGTGATCTGTATTCAAAACTCACTTGAAAGCGCACCAATCGTCATGTTTTCGCAGTGGTTGAAGGAAGGAAAAATTCTTCACCAGAAAGGTTTGAGGACTCTGTACTCCTTGATCTTCCATTCTGAGGCCACCTACTTATTGACTTGAATTTTTCTTTTCTATTTTAAATCCCAAAGCAGTAATTTCTCCATGTTAGGAATGAAAACAAGGCCTGTGAAGTTTGTAGATTTGACCCGCAGCACGCCTGATAAACTGCACTTTATGAGCACACGATTTTAAGAAGAAAAACTGTCTTTCTAGGACACCTAAAGTCCTCTAAAAATATGCTCAGTGAGTCGATTCCGATTGGTTTATTTGTCCTCAAGAACAATAGAACAATGAGAGAACAAAAAAGTCTTCAGGAGGGTAGGAAAGGCTATTGTCCCCACGTGCTTTTTTTTGGGCGGTTACGGGCAGCAAGGGAAATTGGAGGGGTTTTACGCATGGGCGGTTACAGACGGCACGGGAGTCAATGGGTTAAAAACTAACTTCAAAAACTACATGTACATGTACAGTCAAACCTCCCTAAATGAACACCCCCTGAAAAAGTGTCCACTTACTGTGTGGTACTAAATTTTTGTGGGAGTTGATGTTAGCGAATCATTGATTTTTGTATTTTGCAGAACTAACTGCATGCAGTTGACAGGTGAAACAACATGAAGAGATGTAAAACAAAGTAATCCAGTAATCAGTTTCACTCTATCACAGTTATGTAGTGTTCTTGTGGGGAATTGTAGATGCTCTTCACAGCGGAGTACCTTCAGACAATCCTCCCCTGTAAACTTTTTATTTTGGAACGTTTTGTTTCTGAATGAAAGAGTTGTTTTAAATAAATGGCAGCAACTTGATTCTACTGGTGATATTTGTATGTATAATTTGTATGAAAATTTTTGTGGGAATTTTTTTTCGCAGGAACATTTTTTGGGGGGATTGTGGAAAAAACCGCAAAATTTGAAAAACTCGAACCTGTAAAAATGTAGTGCCACATGGTAGGAGAAGTGTCTACATGTACATCTGGGAGGTTTGTTTGTGGCTGGGACCATTACTTAATGTCCACTTATAAAGGATGTCTACATGTTACCTACATGTCCATTAGTGGAGGCTTGGCTGTGTTTCCTAATTATAGAACATGGACCAGTAACAAGTACATTGAAGTTTCACTCTAGTTAATTACCAGGTCTGGAAGCTGCCCATGTAGGGTGTTGACCTCAGACCCCTTTAAATTTAGCTGACCAATGACTTGGCTGACCACTTGCCCACCTGACAAGTGAGCAGAGAAAGTTCCTTGCCCAAGAGGGAAATCTAACTTGTTCCGAATGAAGGGGGAAACATTCACCCAGGGCCAGCCCTGGTGTTGCTGTGAATTCCTTCTTATTTTTGAAACATTACCCAGTTTTACTGGATTTACTAGTGTAGCAGAGAGTTGCTAAAACAGAAACTAATGATATGAATCACTACTCACTACAGTATAATTATTTGTACATCCTACATCACTGTACCTTGCTTATGACCTCCTAGATCAAACGTTGTAAACTTCATGCCACCCATAGACAATTCCTCTGATGCTATGAATCAAAACAATAACATCAGCTCAAGAGCTTACAGCTGTAGCTGGATCCATAAAACTACTTGTATCATAAACACTTACTTGGATGAAGAGTAGGAACATGTTGTGCCATACGATCATCCTTCAGCATGTGTAGTAAGGTTGTTTTACCCGCATTGTCTAGTCCTAAGAATACTAATTTACCAGTCTTTTTCATTAAACCTGGAAAACATAGTTAAAGAAAACAAGAGATCAGAAAATGCAGTATTATAGGGTTCTTGAAAGGAAAATAAAAGACTTAAGCTTTCCCTCAGGCCAAAATAAATTTTTTATAAAAATGAAGTGTTTGCATCATTAACACTTTCCATGTTCCATTTTTATCAGTCCCAGATGTTATTGGCATNGGACCATTACTTAATGTCCACTTATAAAGGATGTCTACATGTTACCTACATGTCCATTAGTGGAGGCTTGACTGCATGTATTTCCTAATTATAGAACACGGACCAGTGACAAGTACATTGAAGTTTCACTCTAGTTAATTGCCAGGTCTGGAAGCTGCCCTTGTAGGGTGTTGACCTCAGACCCCTTTAAATTTAGCTCACCAATGACTTGTCTGACCACTTGCCCACCTGACAAGTGAGCAGAGAAAGTTCCTTGCCCAAGAGGGAAATCTAACTTGATCCGAATGAAGGGGGAAACATTCATTGAGGGCCAGCCCTGGCGTTGCTGTTAATTCCTTCTTATTTTTGAAACATTGACCAGTTCTACTAGATTTACTAGTGCAGCAGAGAGTTGCTAAAACTGAAACTACTGATATGAATCACTACTCACTACAGTATAATTATTTGTACATCCTACATCACTGTACCTTGCTTATGACCTCCTAGATCAAACGTTGTAAACTTCATGCCACCCATAGACAATTCCTCTGATGCTATGAATCAAAACAATAACATCAGCTCAAGAGCTTACAGCTGTAGCTGGATCCATAAAACTACTTGTATCATAAACACTTACTTGGATGAAGAGTAGGAACATGTTGTGCCATACGATCATCCTTCAGCATGTGTAGTAAGGTTGTTTTACCCGCATTGTCTAGTCCTAAGAATACTAATTTACCAGTCTTTTTCATTAAACCTGGAAAACATAGTTAAAGAAAACAAGAGATCAGAAAATGCAGTATTATAGGGTTCTTGAAAGGAAAATAAAAGACTTAAGCTTTCCCTCAGGCCAAAATAAATTTTTTATAAAAATGAAGTGTTTGCATC